AATATTCTTGGAAATGTAAGGCAAGAGACCTTCAAGGTTGCCCAGCAAGACGACCAGATCATGCTCAGGAAGCCATGACACGTTTCTGGTTTCATGTTCAATGTTTTCGGCCGAGGACGAGGAAACGGTTGCATGATTTGCGCATGGTCGTCGGGTTTCATCGAACGACCCTTCAAATGCAGGACCGTGGAGACCAAACGACAAGCACACAGGAGCCGAAGATGAAGTTCGAGTGTTTTGTCTCGGGCAAGAAGTGTTGTGCCTGTCTACGAGGGATAGTCTACGAGAGATTGTTGAAGAAGTTTCTAGTCTTTTGTTACTTTTTGTTGGTTCGGAGGTCCATGCAACTTGGTGAAGTCACACTTGGTTTTCCACCTTGCTGGTCTATGTCAATGTGGATCTTGCAAGCAGCAAATAGGATTCCGTAGAATTCGCTTCCCATGGCGGGCTGGAATAGAGTGGGCTCTTGGTGAGGAGAAAGATGCAGATGTTCTTCCAACATGCAAATGACGATGATGACACCCGTCTGCTTGTGGCCGTGTTTGGGAGTACTGGTGTTACGGCTTGTCAAAAGTCTTTTTCTGGAAAATAAACAAAGGTTGCAGCGGCTCAAGCCTCCGAACTGCAACAGACAGCGACTGTGTCTTCACTGTTAAACCGAAGACTCTCTGAACTCGTAGCACAGGACGCAGCAGACAGACAATCCAGTATACCTTTCCGCAGGAATGAAATGGACTTAACATGTCTGCAACAATTGGAACAAGAACTGTTGCCTAAGGATAACATCCTGTCGATCGAGGAATGGAAGGAAGTCATCAACGAGGAGAAGGCCTTTCTTGGATCAAGTGTGTTCCCAAATTTGCAACAGCTCTTTCTTGCACCATGTGTTTTCCATCAGTTTTTGTGAGCTAACCACGAGCAGACAACCTACCGCTTGTTGTGTTTTTGGAATGCCCATGAAGAAGCATGTTGTGGGCAACAATTGAGAATGCAATTCACAAGCCTCCCGCTACAGCAGTGCTTCCCGAAAAAATCGTAGATGCAATTCTTCAATCAACAGGAAGACACCGGTTTTGTCAATTTTCCGATCATACGTTCGTCAATCGGATCCACGAGCTGCTCTCCGATCCGATCAACGTGCTCCCTTCACATTGGTTTGCGGCAGGTCAAGCATTGGTTTGCGGCACAAGGGCTCAGCATCTCCGACCCTGAACTGCTTTGGAAGATCTTGGCGTCTTGACACCGCGTGGGTGCAGAATGCGTTCGTGGGGATGGAAGACGGAACCTCAGGTTCCGATGTATTCTCGATTTCAGCAGGTTTCAGCGGTTGGTGTTTGTTAATGTCGCCGTGTCGTAATAGGTGTATTCGATGATTCCACTCGATGTATGGAAACCTTGGCGTCGATGTAGATGCACTTGGTGTTGATGGTACCTGCATTGTCATGGATAATGGAGATCCTTTTGGATGTAAAGAGGCACATATGGAGATCTTGATGACTTCTCCTTGAATCGATACGGACCGGCCGGTTTGGAAAATCGGACTGGCTTTAAGAAGACCACCTGAGCCCTGCATGGCATTCACATCGTCCAAATGGGCAGGAAGAGTTGGTGAAACTCTGATTTGATTGGGTGTTCCACATAGCATGCTCAACAAAAAGATTAACATCTCAGTTGATCTCCACTCCACTTCCCATTTCGACTTCAGGACACTTCTGGAGATCGCCAATTGGATCTAGAGGAGCTCATCCAAGGAACCGCGCGCTTGCAAGGCGAAACCGCACGTCGACGGCACGTAGAAGGAAGAAAGACATGCCAAATACACCACTGGCAGTACCACTGGCTTGACCTCCAAGACCATGTAGATACTGTTGCTGTCCTTTTTAGCCACAGTTGGTGTGGAGTTCTAGAGGATTGATTCCTGGCATTTTATCTTGTAGGTTGTAAGTTGTCCACGATCATTCAAGAAATAGTAGAAGTGGGTGAAGAAAGCTAGAGTAACTGGGCCTGTTGTCATGAACCGCAACAATTCCACCTGTGAAGGCTTTGCAAAAAGCTTGGACTTGGCAGTGCCTTGGATTTTAACTAAGCTTGGAGAGGCTGTTGATCCCCGTGTATTATCCGAGATCTCGGTTATCGCTTCAGAGGAAGGTGTGATCGAACCAAGCGTTTCTTGAGCTATCGGGTCCACCTTCAATGCCCGTGTCCACTAAAACAATCTAAAGCAGGTCCGGAAGCTCCACAAGAGCATACTAGTTACTAGTAACAAGAACGCTACTAGGGGGTCCTGGCCATACTACTAGGAGCAAGGACGCCACTAGGGGCTCCTGGCATCGCTACTAGGAGCATTCTTACTACTAGTAACAAGAAAATCAATGTGAGTCCCTGCAGCTTCATTCTTCCAACTGTTGAGGTTCTGACTTTGGAGCAACGCAGTCTTCAGACACAGACGAAGGCCTGCTGGTATTAGATGTACTTTGGGTCTGTCCTATTACCTGTAACAGTCAGTAAACAATTAATTATCATCATTTTTGAACAAGGCCTTTACTAACCATCATCCACTGTTATAGGTATATATATATATTATATAGGATAGATTCAAGATGTACTCATGACACGGCTCTCTTTCAGCTGTTTCAGCCGAAGTTCGCGCAGAGGGTCCGGGTCGCAGGAGATCCGCCAGTCTGTGGAGATGATCAGGCAGCAAGTGGGTATGCTGTTAAGGCGTGGGCCTGTGGTTTTTCGTGGCAGAAGTGGACAATCCCAACTCACTGAAAGTTGGAATCTGGAAGAGTCTTTCAGTAGTGAAGAATAACAAAGAATGATCAGGTCGTCTCGTTTGAATTGTTTCGAGAAGTGTTCCACAACAAAGCCCAAGCTTCAAGTCTTCAGCGGGCCCATGCTCCAACGTTGGCGCCTCATCTCACGCTCCAGGACAAGTATCGACGCCAGCAGCACGCCTGGGGTGAGGTGTTGAGTGAGTCATCACATAAAAGCCCGGAGGTTGGACAAAATACCAAAAGCACCAAAAGCGCCTTTCCAGGTGCCCAATTTGGGGACAAAAACCTCGAGGTTTACATAGGTTTACACACAAATCATTTGGAGAACAGCATACATCAAGAACAGCATCCTCACTTTGAAGACAGATGACCCTTGAACATCTGAAAAAAGAACACATTCCCCGTTGCGGCCAGCGGGTCGACGATTCCACCCAGTCGGATGTGGGACCGGGAAGAAAGTGGCCAGGTGGGAATTGCAGGACTTTGTTTGGCCTCAACAGCAAGGAAGTTCTTTAGAAATCCGTTCCTTTTTGTTCCCACCTCCCGGCAGCTCTTGGCAGGCTGCTTGGCACCAAATCTTTTTTTGCCTCGATTCACAATGCCCCGGTGTCACAAAGGGAGCCCGGGAGCTTCTTGAAGCAAGCTGCAGGACCGGAACCCAAGGCCAGTCTGAAGCGGTTGTTCAAAGCAACGAGCCCAAACGCCGTCAGTTTGCAGCTTGAGACGGCTTTCCCAAAATAATTTGCTTTTAAGCTGTGCGAAGCACGGCTAGTCTGGGTTGTAAGGTGCTAACCCTAGACCAATGCGGCTTCCTGGTCCATCCTCAAACAGAAAAGCCATTCCAGAGCATCTGGCAGGTCTGGCAGGCCTATGAGGTCAAACCCACCACCCACGACCTCAAAAGGTACGAGGGGAAGGACCAGGATGACCCTCTCAAAGGTCGAGCCATTTCTTGGTGGGATGGTCGGCACATCAAACGCCCGCCCTAACATCGAGCGGTTGCCCCGTTTGTGACTCGATGTTTGGCGACAGGGCCTCAGGGGTTGTGTGAAGCAGAAGCGATCGTGCGAAAGAACCGGAAATAGTGCAGAACCTAGTGCAGAAAGTATATAAGTGATAGTCGGATGCCCTCCATTGTCCTGTCTTCATATGGTTTCAAAGGATTTCAAAGGCATGCTTTAGAGGTTGTGTCGAAACATGTCGAAACCTTGAGGTCTTGGGAAGAACTGGCCCAATTGTACTTGGGGAAACACACGGATTTAACTGTGCAAAGAACCTGTCGTTCTGGTTTGTTGTAATTAACTCGTGGAAGGCCCTTTGGTTAGAAGCTTCTTGGGTGAAGAGCATCAGTTACAAACAAACACTGTTGTAACACATTGAGTAGAAAAGCATGATGCTGCGATAGACCACCGGCCACTGCAGCTTGTGCAAACTGCAGTGTGGTCGTACCTGAAAGCGGGTTGACCGTCAACTGACCTCCAGAGGGAGCGTTTCCATTCCTCCTGTGCGATGGAGCAGACATGTTCTGCGAAAGTGTGCTTTGCACCTAGCACCAAATCCATGGATGCACTCGGTAAGTGTTTTCGCTGCACACTGGGAATGCCAAGGGTACAAGCACGCAGGATTGCTTAGAAGCGGAGAGGCACACATGTTGTCATGCTCTTTGGATGCGGAACACCGGTGCTCATGTTCATCGTCTGGACTTTTCGGATAGCCCCAAATTGCATCTCTGATTTCGACCAAGCTGCAGTTCCCATGAGCGTCAGGGTCATGAGTCGATGGGTTTGGTTTCTTCTCACCCGCTGGGTCTATAGAAAGTGCCAAAGAAAGATCCGTTGCGACGTTTGTGGGTGAATGTGTGCATGTTAGAATCCAAGTACTTCACTCGAGACCATGCGGACCTATGGCCATTTGACAATTTGAGACCACGACGGTGTGCCGAGACAGTGACCTGGTAAGGTGAAAGATGAGACGCTAGCTGCGAACATGCCCAGTTAAACTGCGGCTTCCTGATGTGCACTGAACTAGCCTGTTTTCAAGTGAAAATTTGCCGTGCTGGGGCGCTCCGGAGCTTCTTGTATGATACCACGCAATCTCCAAAACAATTGAGAGTGTCAAGCAGTCAAGCAGAAAGACCCTGAAGAACAGGCTTGCTGCCGATGATGAGCAGCTGGTGAAGACATGCGAAGGCCAGAAGTACTTGGTTCTATTTACTCTGCGCAGGCGATGCAGTCAGATGAGAGCATGATGCTCCAAAACGCTTGTGAGACGCTGGAAGCCCAGATGAGCTCAAAGCTTGCATCCCTATGTTGGGAGGCTCTTCCTGTAATGGCGTTTATTCTTTGGAAGAGAGTTGATTAGGGAATTTGGGAATAGCTGGTCTTTGTCTTCTGATCACAATGACCTCTTAGCCCAGTAAGGAGGATTTCTGAGCTGCGGCTCAGCCAGCTCCTTCATCTCCTGTTCTGAGATGTTCTGAGAAATAGAAAACCATGAAACACCTCAAGATTCATTCTCAGGTTGGTGTTGCTTGTGCTCCTGACGTGCTTGATCCTTTGGTCGGCAATCAATGCAAAAGACCCAGAGAGTAGACACGGAGCCACAGTGTCTTTCCATGAAATCCGTGGAGCCTGAAGAAGAAAAGGACTTTTTGGATGTTGAAGTGATCAGCTTTTTGTTGTGCAGTCGCTTCTAGAATGTACCAGGACCTACCGCCCCGCTGAGGCCAGGTGAGCCATCTGAATGATTTCCACACCAAATCCTGGCGCCAGGTCCAGCGCTCCGCCTCACAGGGCGCTGAGCTGCTGGAGCAACTCCTGCGCTTCGCCGAACGGCTTCTGGGACCTGACTTGGAGGCACGCGTCACAGGGCACAATCCCTTCAATCAAGGGCGTTACTGTACCTTTTTTGTTTGGGGTCACTGGTTCAGCATGGTGTAACGGGCCGCCCTTGGCCGCGTCTCCACTTACATGGGCCCGACAATCCCTCCTGATGGCTTCCTGGGCATTCCTGGGCATGTTGCAACTGCAAACACGCTTCCTTGCACACAAAGTGCATGCCATGTCGTTTGTGTATGGTATGGCCTTGACCTGCATTTCTGAGGGTGCCTCTTTTGTTTTGTGGTTGACGAGTTGCTCAGAGTCTCCAGGGTTCATTACGTTTCCCCCATTTGCCTGTGCATGGCAACCACTCGTTTACTTTGCAGTTTGTTGTCAGAGCGGCAACGTTTTAATGCTATATGATGCTTCGTGTATTTTTTTGATGTGTAGTGTTTGTGTGCAGTGTACGCCAGCTTTCCTCAAGAAGGACGGCACAATTCTATGTGTTGATTTCCTGCAAAGTTGAAACTCGAACACGGAAGGGATATGGACTGCACTAGAGCGCTGACCTTCTACCATCGAAGGAACGTTTGCTTGCACATATCGAAATTTTACCATCTCTGAGCCCTGCAGCGTTTTTTTCAGGATGATGCATGCCTCTATGTTGGGCAAGCACCCCAGCTACCGGAACTGCTTTCGGGTCACAAGACTTCATTTGGACTTATATATTTTTGTTTGGTGTGGTAAACTCTACATAGATTCTATAGAAAGGAGGAAGAGATGGTCGCTGCTTTGCACTGGACAACAAAGACCCTGAATCATGCCTGGATGTTGCTGCTGCAAGATTTTAGACTTCCGGTAACTTCCGAGAAATGAGTCGAAACTCAGTGAAAATCACTCGAACGGACAGCGAATTGGCAGCGACCTCCAGCCCATTGGAACGTGCACGTTCCCTGCATTTGCCCACGAAAGGAGAGCCCTGTACAGCCATGGCGTTGCGCTTGTTGACCTTCAACATTTGGTTCTCCCCGCATGAGATGGAAAGGCGGATGCAGGCAGGGCCTCAAGCGGTTGAACATGTTGAACCTTTTCAGCCTCAAATGAGACCCTTTTTGGCAACCCCCCCAGCAAATTGATGGAGAGTCGGGACCTTCAGCCGATGCACTGATTCCTTAGCGAGTGGGGATTTTGATCTAGAATCTCCAGCTAACAGAGTTCCCCAGCCCTGCGAGGCGATCGGCGACATCGTGGCGCGGACGCAACCAGACCTCGTCGCCCTGCAGGCATTCGACCGGGTGCGAACGACCTGACGAAGGGTGCGATGTTGATCCTTCAAAGTAAATTGAGCAGCGTCAAAAGACGCGAAGAAAGGATTTTAGGTGAGGTTCATGGCCCGTAAAAGCCCACGAAAGCCTTGAGAAAGCTTCGCAAAAGTGACATTTTGGATTTCTTTTGTGAAAGCTGTTCTGGACTAAATGGTTCCGCTGCAAAGGTGGCAAGAAAGTAGAAATACTGGGAAATGAGGCCCGAAAGCAAAAACGCAGGTCGCGAAAGCGGCGGGAAAGCATTCGTGAAAGACCTAGCTGATTAGAACATATTAGAACCATTTAGAACCCCACCGCAACCAGGTGTTCGACAGCCCAATTGACAAACATACATGCGTTTGTTTCTGAGGTTTCGACAAATTACAATGGGCCAATTGACTTTCAATATCAATGGTCAGGCAATCAAGCTTCAGTGTTACTTCAGTTGCTTCTACTTCTCTTTGTTTTATGCCAGGTATACCGTAGTCTCTCATGAAATATTCACAATGTGAATATTTTTCGGTAAGACTAAAGGCTTCAAGGCTTCTGTAGCACCGCCAGTTTTACCACAATTGTGCCATATGTGGGTGTTGACAGTCGCCTATGTTGTGTTCAACAGAGCCTTGGAAGTGAGACCAAAAGCTGTTTCCCCCGCTACTGTGAAAGGCTTACCAAGTAGACTCAAAGTGGGTCACAAGATGTTTCGTAATTTGCCTAATTACTCATCATGACTCATCATGACTGATGACCCTGTTCTTGAAAGATATGCGATGCCAATCTCTTGCCAGGAGATGACACAAGACCACTGGGCTTTGCTCGCCTCACATGAGGCGGTCGGCAGCTACAGCTGGTCGGAGTCGCCCAGGCAACGACCGACCCAGTGAAACAAGGATAAAGGACTACCCCGAACATGGACGAAGGAGTGTGACTTCGAACATGCTGATCAGCAATGCTAAGATTGGCCAACATGCAAGCCCATTTTTGATCCAAGGTTCAAAAACCAAAGGCAACAGAGTGATCAGGCAGAGATACTACACCTTGATTGGGAGCCGCTTGCCAATGGTGACTACGCCACAGCGATTTCCCTTCAAGGCCAGAGCGCTGTTTGTCAACATGTGAAGAAGCTTTCCACCCTCTTTCGCTTGTGATTTGCTTGAGCCATCTTGAGCCATTTTGAGCCTTTGACAACCTTGATTTTTTGCAGAGTTTTGGTGGACCTTTGGTGTGTTTGGTGCAAGTGGGAATATCAGTGCATCAGAGTGTGATGTCAAATAATGAATCATGAAACAACTCGCTCTTAGCTTTTGGCACAACAAACCTTTTTGTATACTTGTACTGATACTAGTACTGCCTGGTACTGTATACTATGCAAGTCTTGTGAGTGCACAAGTACTCAGAGACTGTATACATGGTTGTGGCAGGCCAGCAGAATGCAGAGAGACTTGCTCACAGTCACTGCACTTGGGCAGCATCAGCACATCCTTGGTGCCTCATGTGGCTGCTCCGAAGGGGCCTTCTCAAAGATATATGTATATATATATATAGTATATAAATTATATATGCATATACTACAGTGGCGTTCCTTTTCTCCATGTCATCGCTCCAAAATAGATGAGCGCCAATGTACAAACCGATTCTTTGGTTTGCTGTGTTCATCAGTGCCTACGATCGAGGTGAAGCCACCAGAATTGCCGGCATTGGTGTTTGCCACCTCCCACTTGGAGTCGTTAGACGAGCATCAGGCGGGGCAAACCTGCAATAGCACGTGTGATTTACAACGGCACCGTGGTTGAAATCGAGCACAGCATGTTTCTGGTACCCTCGAATTTCGTAGGCCAAACCTTGTCTTGCCGGCGTGTTCAGTTCCCAGGAGCGGCGCCGGCAAATGCAAGAAAGCCTTCAGGGCCATTTGAAGAGTGCGGACGACGTCGTGTTCTGTGCCTTGGAAGACGGAGGACTCGAGGACGTCCTCGCCCGTGCGCGTTTCGCAGTCCTCGCCCGTGCCCGAGCCGGGACACGATGGACCAGATGGACCACTCTTGGTGTTTGACAAAGTGGATCGCTGAGACCATGGATGAAAGGGATTTGGAGGAGTCTACTAGTAGCTTCAAAGACCTCCTAGTAGCTTCTTGTTAATACAGGTGAAACAATTCCCAGTGTTTCCCAAGGAAGCTTCTAGCTACTAGTAGCTCCTTGATGAGAACTCCTTGGTCGCTCCATTTGAGATCCCTCACATGTTTCTTGTACTAGATCCACAGAAAGCACGCTGAGCAGACGCTTTGAAGCCTCAGTAACGGTACTTGTACGGTTCAGAGAGCTGCTTCAGCCGAATCTGAGGTGGTGACACAAACATCAATGAGGCCATTGATGGAGAGATAAGGCTGCCAGAAGGTTGGAAGGAGCTACAGATTGTTGGTTGGCTGGTTGGCTGGATCCAGTCCTTTGCGAACTTTCAGAATTATTTCTGGAATCCGATGGACTCAATTCTTGAGCTACACACGTCTACTTGCATTTGTCCATGTCAGGTTACACTGTCTCTACCATCCACTCTCGACTCAAGAGGGGGGGGGGAAATGGCAGATCAGCCCTAGGGCCCTAGGCCTGGTACACTCCAACTGGTGAACTCAGTCTCAGGTTTACATTCACTTAGTCCGCCTAGGCCTGTTTGGTTTGACTTCCGCAACTGTGAAGTGTTTTGTCTTTCTCCAGCAGGACCCGTGGATTTTGCTCAGAGGTGATGAAGGCGCGTGTGAGCGTTCGATTTCCCTTTATTTCAGGCGTGAGGTGGTGGAATCATGTTTGTGACGTGTTTGAGGTGTTGAAAGATGTTCCCAGCTGTAGCTAGTTTCTGCAGCATATCATCATAGCAATGTCATCCGATTTGAAAGGGTCAGGTGGTAGTAGGTAGGAACATGGAACTACAACTGGCCAAAATGTGTGCTGTCGGGTTCTGTGGATTGGGCAACACTAAGGCTAACTTCACTAGGGTACAGTCATCGTACCAAATACCTCGCGGTCCTGGTTTGTCAAGAGCTCTGGTAATTCCGATTTGCTTGCAATCAACTAGCCAAAGCAGGTGACATGTTTTAGGCAAACTGGAGACTGACAGATCTGTTTTGTTTCTGTACCCACAGCACTCTTTTTGCAACTTCCATACAAGAGCCGATGACACGGTGAATCGTATGAAAGCGAACACCGCTGTGCCGGTAGGAGGATATACCTTCGATGTAGAGCGCAACAGCCACTCGATGAGAAACGTCAGGCAGATGTATCTTCTTTGGAATGACTTTCAGGAATGGGTGACATGGATTCTATCCTTTTTGCTTGGATGTCATTAGATACATGTTACCGAGTGTTGCTTGGTACTTAAGCTTGTTGAAGACTAGCGCCTGTGGTCTGCTGGGATTGGGAAGAGAGGTGTTTTCTTCAGTTGTGGGCTTCTGTGGGACAGCATTAGTGCACCAGATTGCACCTGTTGCTTTGGACTGGGTGGCTCGGAAGAGACTCATTTGAGCTAAGGCATGATGGCTGAAGTGGATAGCTGGGCTCGCAGCAACCATGCACGGCTCCGCTTCGATCGCTTTTGGATCAAAGTGGCGCGGCATTGCAAAATCTGGGTGTTCTTTGTGACTGTCACTAGCTGTCCTAATGATCTAATGGGCAAAAAGAGCGCAAAAATATATTGGGGTGAAATATGGGTATCCTGCTGCAATACGTGTGGGCTTTTGGATGCTCACTTGTAGCCTTTGGTTGGCTCGAAACACATCATTTGCGTTGATCTCCACCAGTGGACGTCGATCCAAGGTATCCAATTATGCACCAGTGGCAATTGAACTCCTGGATGATCCTATTCAGGAGCAATTTTGAAGAGTCCGGCTGAAAGGTCAAAGGAACGGCAAGTTGACATGTTTGTACAGGCAATAGTCACATTCACTCACGACAGCTCCCCTCTCCTTTTGTTTGCAAGCTTGCAAGCTTAGACGGAGAGTTTTACACTGGCACTATCATCTGTGCAATACACTCATAAAACATCGAACTCATACCACAGGACAAAGTCTGTACCCACAGAATATCACGCAGCTTGGCTGCCACCCCCACTACGCGTGGGCGGGAACATCCAGGAGAAGCTGTGGCCAAGCGATCACTTTGCTCTCCTGCTCACCTTGGAGGTCCTTTGATCTCCGCGGCGAAACATGCAGGCGAAGACTCGAAGACAGCCCACAGAACAGGCTCAAAACATCAAAGATAACCCTCGGTGGACACACAGAAAGTTATGTAAAGGGCGATGGTGATTAACTTCAAAAAGCCAAAGAGCGATTTGGAAATTCACCAGCGAGTGCTTGAGTTTTGCCCAAAACTGTTATTCAAGATTCTCTTGGAAGGGAATCTATATAGATAAGTTCTGCTCTTATAGCCAAGACAGAATAGCCTAGCTATATATAGATCTATATAACATCTTAGCACTTTTCCACCCTCCTGATTGTCAAGGGAGTCAAGGCATGTGTTTTGCAGGAGTGGCGGCGACATCGTGGAGACTTACCCGGCAAGCCCACTTGTTCGCTCTCGTAGAGAAAGAAGGATCGAGGAGTGTTTGATTTGACCAGCAGGCAAGCATCAGTGAACATGACACAATGAGAGCATCCTTGCTCCTAGTAGCGATGCCCTTTGTTACTAGTAGCGTCCTTGTTCCTAGGGCCAGGAGCGCCCCTAGTAGCGTCCTTGAGGACACAGCCACCACGAGCAAAAGCTTGCCGCACCAACTTTTGGCCGTTCCACACACTTGATGCACACATGCTTCCACACACTTGATTCACTCAAGGCCATTGGCCATGCTCCTTTTTGCAAATTATGGCCCGGGCCTTGCATGGATGACCCATTCGTCGCACTGATCACTGTTCGAGTCAGAGTCGCATCGTCATATCCAACGCACTCAATTGTTGAGTTTCATCGGCCCTGAGAGATCAGGAACTTGTGAATACTATGAGTATCATGTGCCTTTGGCCACCACCAGGTAGGATGCTTCCAGCCCAATTGCAGGCTGCCAACTGGGGCGAAGCATGGCGAAGCAATGATTTTGAATGCATGTAAATCTTATCAACCATTTCCACTACAGCCACAAACGATACCAAGTTTCTGACTTGAAGAACCCTCAACTGAAGAGGAACTTCCTGGACCCCTCCAGTGAACAACTGCTTTTGGATGGCAACGTAATCATTTGGCACCATCACAGGAAACTTCTTGGTGGTTGTTATGGTGGAAATGTTGGATGGGAAGTCGGAAGTAAGCAAGTGCTGATCGTTACAAAATTCACGCTAGGTCCCGTAGTTTGCCCTAGTTTTGGGCGAATCAGTTTGGATTTCGGCAGACCCTTCTGAGTCGGCAGACTCTTCTTTCGGCTTGTTCGGCTTCCGCAGTCCTCTTCGTTCGGGTGACAGGTGGGGCTCCTCCAAGCCTTGGTCTTGCGCCTCGCTCGCGCGGAGCGGCCATACTTGCGGCAGGTCAGGGGCATCGGAGAAAACAGGTGAGCAAAAATGAACACGAATCCGCAAAAAAGCCCAAAAGCTGACGAAAAGGACACGAATGAAGACCCAGTTTGCAGAGTTGTAGAATCTACAAACCGATAGACTCCAATAGACATGAAGGTTCCAGGTTTGCAACTTACTTTCTGCAAGAGCACTTTTGAGATTCAGACTTACTTTTGAGATTCAGACTGGCCGTTATGTCCATTGAAAGAAACTGCTCCTCCTGAAGTCTTGAAAGATTTGTGGTGTGGACATCTATAGAGTTGTGACCACAGCCGTCAGAAATTGGATGTTCTCTTCCCTATTCATCTCTTCAGCCAGGAGCTTGTGGTGGTCTTTGCGAGGCTTCTTCACGAGGAGCAATTCATACAGATGGAGTGGTGGTATCAATGCATACAGCTATTGCACATGCAAAGATACTTGGTGGGCTATCCCTTCATAAGCCATGTTCTGTTAAACTCCAATCCGTTCAACAGCTGGCGCCAGTCGGTTTATGTACAGGCCACCACCTTTGGGATGAGCACTTAATGATTTGTCAGCTCCTGAATTGTAAATGGTGCCTTAACAATCGAAAAATAGAAAGACGAAGTATTGAACTCTTCTAGCTGTAGCTGTAGCCAGACCTCCACAATGAGGTTCTCGTTCGGCTACCGTTATCAAGATAGAGTGCCCGTTAGGCGTTAAAAGACTTGGGCGACTGGTGACACATTAGCACTCAACCCTGGAGGACCTGAACGGCTCGCTGCAGGCTCTTGCAGGCATGGAGGTGGGCACAGCGACACAAGCCATGTGGCTTTGTTTTTGCGAGGCTTTGATTCATATCTGAATATATGAGGTGTCGCAATCGAAGAAGGGGAAAAGCATGGAAAAACAGCCATTCCGTGGCCTCAGACACTCATCATAGATGTCATAGGTGCCCGCAAAAGATGCCATTCGTGGTGGCCTTGAGTTGCTGATGTTGGGGCCCAGGGCGCTGCTGTTTCAGGGCCGTGGGGTCTTCGACCAACCAGGTCCCATTTTGGCACATTGACATGGTACATGAATTCAAGGCCCTTTGCTGTGTGTTGCGGAGTATGCTGGGTTATGCTGCAGATTTTGTTTTTACAAGGAATGCTTAGCAGAACTGCAATTTCTCGCACTAGGCTTTCCTTATCATGAATAGCTGCTAAGCTGCTAGGATGATGTACCTAGAAGCTTAAGAGAATACAACAGTGCAGAATTTCCAGTACTGTATCTTACGTTCACTGGTTCATGTCTAGTTTAGTGTCACTGAATAAAGAGACATGAAAGCCTGAAAGCAGCACATTCACCGGAAGTACATTGTGTTTGTTTAATTCTTTTCAGGCTTCCTTTTCACTTGATACCTTCCACCACTCTCCAAGGTCTACGTGGCTGGCTGTTGTTGGTGCTCTCAGCGTTCATATGCATTCATCACGTGCGATCTAAGATCGCGGACATGATGAAGTGACCACAAATCCACGATAGCACCTAGCAGCCTTGCAAAACTGTTGCACCAGTCACTTGATGAAACAGTTCCATCCAAGCGATTTCGTTCACATCCACTGGGTACCGTCACTCGAGGCTCCTGAGATCCGTGCACGGCGTGCGTCCGGGTCTCCAGAGTCATCAACTCCCAAGTAAAGGTCAGTTTGGGCAACTATGTCACGTCTGCCAGACGAAATACGCACAGGATGGCTTTGTCAACGTGATCATTGTGATCATTGTGCCTCCACACTCTACCGATCTCGAGGCGTAACGTGACGGTCTCTGCACTTTGCCGTGTGCACGAGCGCAGTAAGGAGGCGAGACGGTCCATCCAACTGGGCACAAGGTCCAAAGGCGGCCAGCGCCAAATGGTTTGATGGTTTTATGTCAATTGATGTCAATTGACCACACGGGTCATCCCTACTTGTCGCTGGTCACGTCGCGCCACCATTCATGCTGTGCGGCTCTGCAGTGCTTTTGGGCAGGACTCCCAGCTCCGAAGTCTTCTCGGAGAGGTGGGGCGGTCTGGTGTTTGGCGCAGCCTTTGCAAGGTCTTAGCAGCCTGAGAGCTTTTAGAATTTGGGCAGAAAGGAAAAGAAAGGTGTGGAAAATGGTTTAGGCCCTGTGCAACCCACGTTTTCAGATCATTCCCAGAGTTGGGGGTGGGTTTGAGTTTGATATATGGCGGAAAGAATCAGAAAGAGAGAAGTGTACAAGCCTCTTGTGGACTTGGCACAAGCAAGAATCACCCGGTTGCTACTCTTTACGGGGCATAGTTCTCTCTAGCAACTGACTCTGTTGGCAGGATCCTTTGACCCATGCTGCCCATTCTTGTTGGGAAATGCCATGCGGATGGTGTTTGGACGTCTCAGGCAGCCACACCAGAGCGGCCGGGGTGCCAACTTGCCGTGTACACGGCCACATTGCACCAGCACTGGAGTCATAGGTAGCGTCCTTGTTCCTAATAGCTTCTTGTTCCTAGTAATGCCAGGAGCCCCTGGTAGCGTCCTTGCTCCAAATAGCGATGCCCTTTGCTCCTAGTAGCTTCTTGTTACTAGTAGTAATGGCCTAATAGCGATGGCCTCCACCTAATAGTGTCCTTGTTGCATAGTATATAAAAGAATGTAAAAGAGCCTTTGGGCCAACTTCAAAGCGACAACCCAGTATATAAATGTGCTGCATTCCTCCTTCAAATGCACAGTCACACACTGCGGACTTCATAACCGATAGCCTTCTTTCGAAGGGCATAACCTCAGCTTCCGCAAAGAGATTTCGAAGGGCACTTCTATGCTTCATTGACGCCTTTTTAGCAATGGCCACAGATTTCTCTTAGCCTCCTCAAGCCATTCTGGGCTCAGGTTGCTTCAAGCCATCCTTTCGGGCCTGGAGTTCGAGAACCTCCGCTGCGGGTGCGCGGGGCTTTGTAGGGGGGAATCCCTTTGGAGGGCTGCAGGGTCGGACACCAGTGGGACAGCCCTGTGTGCAGCTTGTGAAGGCACAAGTTCACGAACATGTAGGTGTCCAGCGAATCAATCGTGACTGAAAGCAACATGTCGGACACTGCGCTTTTAGGAATTTTGTTTGAAAAAAAACATGTATGTATATATACATATATATATATAATTCCCTCAGATTCCCTCAATCCCCAAAAGAGCTGGATAGTTGATGACTTTTTTGTAGCATGATCTCCGAAAGGCGTTTTTTTCACATCCTGCCGGAGGCAACTTCGAGAAGCCGAGCGCAACCAGGTCCTTGAAGACTCGGACGAGGAGGATGAGGTGAGGATGATTAGAATTTGCAATTGTTATGTTCAAATGCCGAGGTTCAGGGTAAACTTCGGGAGGGAGGCGGCAACACGATGTAACACACTACACCAAATCTCTCTTGAGTTACTTACAAATCATCTCATGTGCTGAGAACTGGGGGCGCACCAGTTTGCCCATTTTCGCAGTTGGTGTGACGCTGAAAACAGGGGGGTTCATAGAAGGAAAAGAGAGAGAGAGAGAGAACAAAGGCTGCCCGCGCTGTATTGGTTGGCGAGAAATTGAAGTGTTTGGGCAGAGTTGCACCAAGCTGTTCACGACCGCTGCGGTCATTCTTGTTTGGCTTCGCCATGCTCCAGGAGGCTGATGATGAGACCCGGAAGCAGAACGTCCTGTTGTCCGACTTCCTTGATTTGGAGGAGATTTTTGGGGACGGGGAAGTAGAGCGGAGTCATATTCTGGCATGGAAGGTTAGATTGGAAAAGCCTCAAAAGAATTCATCTGTTGATTTTTGCGGCGGATGCTGGCCAACCAGATCGAGGTTTGGGTGGGCAGAAAGGTGCTTGCTATGGTTCATCCAATCTGCTCCAATCCTTCTGCCCACACTTTCCAGCAAGCCAAGAGTGCAGAAAGGTCACCTGCAGCGGCGTAAAAACAATTGAGACCACTGCGACCCACTCGAAGCACCAGGACGTGGACTCAGATGGCTCTGAGGGAGATACATTCCAGGTGGGCGAAACCACGGGGTTCACGTTGGCAGGTTCACGGACGGTTGGCACCCACGAGGTTCCAAGTTGGGCTCTAATCCCACGGTTGTCCACCTAGTCCGGCCCGTACGTTGAAATCAACCAGCCTAGACGAAAGGTAGCATGACTTGACAATTGATCCGTGTCATTCTAGAATTGGATGTTGTGTTCTGGCATACCGATGCCCATCAATAGCAAGTCAACTAAAACCTGTGTCAACGTTAGATGTAGGTCAAGATGCTCGAACAGAGCGAACCACCATCAGGTGCATGAATTGAATGTGCATGGTACATCACTCGAAAAGCCCTGGAGACGGAGACGCAAGTGGGACTTCCATTCAACGGGTGCCGTTCCGCGGCCAGTTTTGCTCACAAGATTCTCTCTCTCTCTCTCTATCGCTTTGCAATGTGTCCCCCAGTTTCCTTTTTCATGGGGATCGTGAAGAATGGCGTGCAAGTCTTCCAGACGGGCCGGACATGCAAGTATGCATACAAGTGTGCGATGGCAAAGCACTACTGCGCCTGAGATTTTGCAACTTGTGCTGAGTTCATCAGTTTGTATGTACATTTTGAGCTTTTTGTTTATCTTGAAAAGATTACAAATGAGTCCATGAAACTGTGGATGAGTGCTTCAGCCAAATGCCATAGGAAACAGGATGAAAGATGAATTCATGCATGCCACGGGTTCCTACACAGCCCAAGATCCATCCCTAACCTTGGTGTTCCGAGGCAGCTGGGCAAGTCGCACGCATGGCAAGCCGTGACAGAAGCTTGCTCTCAATAGCTCTTTTTGCTGCTGAGTCTACGAATGCCATGTTTGTACTTGGGGCCCAAAGCATGCATGTGCGGAACGTGCATTAAGATGCTGGCATTCTTCAGCGCTTCTCGGCCATCTCAGGAGCGCTTGCAGCTTCAACCACCCACCAGTTCCTTCCTTAGAATTGCTTTGAAGCGCGGCCTGCACAGCAGATCCGCATATAGGCGTGATGTACCCCGAAACGATGGACCATTACGGAGGTCATGGGAGGAAGGTATTGATGTTTGTGCGGATTTGCCGTGTTGAACCATTTCAATGAACACTAGAGTCTTTGAAGCAGGATTGAAAGACCCTCTCAGGCAAGCTCCTCAGCGCTGCCATCAGACACCTGTCCTGTCTTGGGATGCATGGGCAGATTCTCCATGTGTTTTCTCTTTTGTCAAGCAATGGGGGCAGCACCAGTCATGATCAGTCTAGGGAGTCTAGGCGCATATGGCAGCAGTGCACAATGGCAGCTGGCGCTGGACACCTTGCAACAGCTGTGCTTGGAGGATTTGGAGCTCTTTGGCCTTCAAAGATACAGCGGAAAGGCAAGGGAAATGTTGCTTTCACATGGCCTAAGGGGAACATGCTGGAAACTCTAGCTTGAAGGAACCCCAAGTTTGTTTGAGTTTCTAAGGCCCAATGTCATCAGCTTCAGCGCTTGCATGAATGCGTGCGAGAAAGGAAGCCGCTGGGAGATGGCCTTGTACCTTGGAGGATCGCAGACATAACAAAAACGTGCGGAGCTTTCCCACGGCGTTCCGTTGGAGTCCTTTCCATGGCGATCAGCGCTGCAGAAGGACTCCATGTAGCGCGTTCGAGCGCGTTGTGCTCGGCCCAATTTGGTGATTTAGAGTGCCCTTTTTCTAGCAGAGCATCTTAGAGTGTCAAGCACGATTGGGCATGTGGAAATCCTGGTGTTGGGGGTTCAATCTTACCACGTATATATTGGCATCACCTACCAACCCTTGGTCTCTTTAATCTAGCCTCTGGTTGCTTACAATGCGTTGAAGCTGCATCCTTTCATCTAAGGGATCTGTTGTCACAGATGCCAGAGGCTCAGATTGAGCCCAACTTCATTTCCTTCGGCCCCTGGGCGCAACTTGCTTCGTTTTCGGGCTTTTCCCCAGACGCGAGAACGACGCCTCGGGCCTTCCACGGCGGCCGCGGGCCGTCTGGCGGGCCAGTTGGCACGAGACGAGTCGTTTGAGACGACAGGCAAAAGCCTTCCAAGATAGGCCAGCTGTTAACTGTTGCTGAGGAGGGCAAAGATTCAAATCCATCGTCAGTCGAGAGTGTGACCATGTTGCACGCGGTGGGTGGCACTGTGTTGATACCATGCAGACAGAGTCCTCGGCATTGTGGGCTGAGGCTCAATAGATTGTTTCAGTGGAGCTATCTACTTAGAGAATTGCAGTGAGGCTTGTGATGTATGGCATTGATGGCCGGATCTCTTTGGTGCTGCTATCTAGTTGAGAAATGGTTGTGCCTTCCGACTGCCACTGGGTGAGGGACGACTAGTCAGGTCTTCCAGGCCCCTGCCAGGTTTTTGACCCATACTGGGGCCGCTGCGAGCCCGACTAAGGAACTGCTTTGAGCGCGTTATCCAAGGGTGAAGCCTGGAAAGAAGCTTTGCAGCTCTTGTGCGAGCTACCAGAGAGAGGTCGGCAGAAATGGCTGCTGTCCTTCGCCCTTGCTGAACATTATATTATCTGTTTTGAAATTGGTATACATTCGACCATATAAGAATATGCAGGAAATCCACCAAAATTGGTGGTGACAAATGCCATTTGCATCCAGTCTCTTCGAGGAATACATGACTACATGTGAGGGACAGACCTTCTTGAGGAAATGCACTTCAGCCAGTCTTGCTCCTGCCATTCTCTGTTTGTTTGTGCACCCTGATGTGGAGGTATTGAGACTGGTATGATCAGAGTCTTGGATGCAAGAAGAGACCTCATGATGATCATGGGTTTGCTTCTTTAAATTAGCGCGCTGCTGGTGCAAATAAAACCTGATTCAAACCATGAAAGAGAGATCTTCATGCCAGCTCATGTGTTGCAACTCCGTCGTAAAGGCATGAAGTTACAAGAACCAGAGAAGGCTTCCCTAGCAACTGTTTGATGCCACAAAGGTATGAATGCTGCTCTCAGTGCTTGTGGCCGTGCAAGCAAGTGGCAGGAGGTACGGAGGTATTGTCGTGGCAGTCTCAAAGTCTTCGTCGACAGGTCACGAGAACCTGTCAAAAACTTGTACGCCTGCTTTGAAACACTGAACTGAACAAACTGTAACCTACTAGCAATGGCCTCCAACCTAATAGCGATGGCCTCCAAGCTATTTGCTTTGAAACACTGAACTGGACACACTGTCAATGAGCGTTTGTCGAAGGTACTGTAAGTCATGTTCAGCCTTATACAGCAAGGAGCACATTCCCGGCAGGCAACAGCCTTGTTCTTCAAAGCACACAGGCAGACGTTGCAGCCTTCAGTGGTCAGCCTCTTGATCAAATTCAAAGTCCACCATGTTTGCAAGTCGACATTGTGCATGCGACCCTTGTTGGATCAAGTTATGTGGGCTATTCCAAGTATGGTCAGCTTTCCTTTCTTCCAAGGCTTCAGCGCAGCCATCAGTGCATGTGAGCGAGGTAGCCAATGGGAGTCTGCTCTGTGCCACCTAGATCAACAAGATGCATGTCGCCACACATATCCACACATTCTTGAGACATCAGATCAGAAAAAAGTAAATAAATAAAGAATTATGCCATTCCGAGTCGAATAGGACGTGGCACAGTAGCGGTCCTCGGCATTGGCAGCAGCCCGCTTTGATGTCTTGAGGAAACGTTTGAGGGGAGGCCCTTCCTGAAAGTAGCAATGCTTCAGCAATCTTCAGCATATGTTCAAGACCTTCGCTGTCGAGTGTGTTGCGGAAACAGGACGTCACCCAAATCGGCCTGGACAGGGCATCCTGGACAGGACGGGAACTCAGGGGGTTGGACGTGCAGAGCTAAGGCCTTTTTGAGGACATGCAATCCTCAGAGATCACTCCAAACACCATCAGCTGCCTGGCCAGTTTCAGATGAGCTGTCGGTGGATAATGGTTGCATCACAACTGGGGATGTTTTGAAAAAGTACTGTGAATTCCAGACGAAGCAGTGTCTTCGTTCTCAGAGGCTTCAGTGCTGTCATCAGTGCCTGCGAGAAGGGTGGTCATTGGGCACTGGCGCTACACTTTCTGTCCCTAACAAAGGCTGGGTGAGAAGGGGTAGGGTTGGTACGGGAGCTTCGACGAAGTCGAAGGCATGAGATGAGCATGAGTCGAAGGCATGTGTTTCAATGACACTGGTAAGAAGTGGCCTAGCTTGCTCGCATGGACGGAACCTGCCAATCCCCCAAAAAGCTTCCTTTGTGACAGCCAGTTAGGATGCCGATGTGATTTGCTACAGCGCTGCAATGTCTGCCTGTGAGACGCTTGTCAGAGTTTCGGCGATTTGAGATGAAGCTCAACGACTCGACGACTCAACGACACCCGTGCCAAAAAAACATGGCAAATGGGTGAATTGTGGTGAACTCTGCAGAGAACAAATGGGTGCAGGTGCAGTATGCCCCCTTCTGAGCTTGCCCGTTGTCACATGCGCCGTTCGTCCTAGCTTGGGTGCCGTCCGAGCGTCAGGAAAGGGGAGCAATGGCCATCGGCACTGCAGCTTCTGCAACAGATGCCTTTGAGGCAAGACGGTTGAAAGGTAGGCAGGACGTTTTGGCTTATGAGGTGTGGCATCCTGAGGAGACCAAGAGATCTGCTTAACAGATGGATGATTTGTACTAGTAGAGATGCTTGTCAGATGGTTTGGACTTCAGAGCCACAGATCACGGATGTTGTGTCTCATTCGCAACGGAGGCGCTGTGCTCCCAACACTGTGAGCAACTTGGCAGCCGAAGTGACTGATGACACGTGGGTCGTTTGTTTCGTGTGGCCCGTGTGGCTCGTGTGGCTCGTGGGAGATGGACAGTCCAAGGCTACAATGCAGCCATCAGTGCCTGTGAGAACGGCAGCTGCTGGGAAGAAGCGCTGCAGTTGTTTGAAAGCATGGTCTTGTGATTTGTCTGGAAGAAGAACCTTTGGAGGGAAAGAGAGTGAGGGATCAGGGACATAGACGGGGATAGACAGAGAGACAAAAGGAAGGGATTT